CTTTTTCTCAGCTGAAAGGGGCGGGGAGATAAGCGACAAGGGCCAAGCGTGACGAATGCAGGAACCTGGTGCTGCTGTTGCATGCTGCTGAGAGAGGATCGGGGGGAGGATGATATGGCACGGCCCACTGCCGCCGCATACAGGGCGGCACAAAGAACCTCGCCACCGCCGCTGCCCCTACTTGTCTCTCACCCTCTTAAAACACCTCCCCCCGTTCATTCATTCATGGCAGCTCCATTCAGGAGGTCATTTAGAGGGCCAATAAGAAGGCTAACTCATTCTGTTACTTGAAAATTTGCAATGTCAAAAAAATGTCACAGGGGGAAGGAGAATGAGGTAAAGGAAATTCCAGTGCTAGATTGAAATGATTGATATCAAAGTATATCTGTTTGTAAGAATGGTATAGTTAAAGCCCAGACCTAAATCCAAATCGGTGCTAGAACAGTGATGCACAGACATCACAGACATCCTCCATCCAATAGGAATGAGCCTGAGATGTTTTAAAAGAAATAATGGGAAAGAAATGTGATCTCTGGATAGGAAAGTTTTGCTCTTCTAAAACTTTAAAATTTAGCCTAATGGAAAACACAAAAAATGTGGAATAAAAGGTGCAGCCATATGGCATTAAAATTGTGGCAAGAAGAAGCATGAAAGGGGAGTGAATACTTTCATCAGTCACAAGTATAAGTAGTCTTGCAAGATAGCGGGTGTCAAAGTTGCTTTTGCAGGGAGCCTCCATGGCAAGTGTATAAAGTGCTTCCTTTTTATTAAGGTTTAGCTGTTAGAATAGCCACTGAGCTGTGTCCTGAGGTAAATACAGCCTGTATGAGACAGAACCCCATCATCCTCAGTGAGAGGCAGCTGTAGACTGACAGCAAAATCCAGCCCTGTGAAGATAACAAAGCTGAAAGGCAGGTCATACTGTTTAAACAGCACCGAAGCTCTGATTTGTGCCACAGTAACAAATCCAGTAAAAAAAAACAAAAAAACTGGTTAATGAGAACTCTGTTTTATGAGCCCTGCTCTCCGTTTTACATGTGATGGTTATTTACACCCCAGTCACTGATTTAATGCAAGCCTCAAGGCTTCTTCAGACAACTTTTCACCAGTTGGTTTCTTATGATCAATAAAATTTGATGGTATTATAGAACCCCTGATTGCATTTAATAGCCTGTGAATCTGGCTGTATGATTAGATTCCCATCTGAATACATTAATTTAATTTAAAGAGAAATTCTCTTTACTACAGTATGTAAACTGGACCAGAGTTAGGATATATTTGTGAGCATTGAATGTGGGGATGGGTAATCCTGTCATATCATCTATTCACAATACACCTACTATTAAACACCAATGCAGTGCAGTTTAATAGTACTGTTAAACAGCCTGCCGAAAAACACTTTTAGGACCTAGAAAAAAGAGTTACCTGGTCCAACTAAACCGAAAAAGAACTTTTCAGACTACATAAGACAAGGACTCTGTCACTGAGGTGTGTTCAGCACTATCCGTACCCGAAGCACGATCTGTACCATCAATGTATTTGTGCATGTGCAAACAGATACTCATCCATGTAATCGTATATAATGTAGTAATGGTACTGAGAGTAAATATGTCTATCCTTAAATCTCCAAAGAATGCTAAACTACATCTTTAAAAACATATTTAACAACTTTTCTGGGAGAATTGGATGCGATTTAACTTCTTTCCATTGTCTGATGTTATCGTCGGACATGCTCAGAACAGAACAGCAATATGATAACACCATATGTATCTGCATTTTAGTTGTGTCTTTCGATAGATTATGCACTATATACCTTAAAAGTACAATAAAAGGCAAATTTATGTAAAAATCCACAGCAAAAAAGTTGGCTGGTGGAAGCAGTGTAGGAAAAATAAACAATTAACTTTTTACACAGTGTAGTTTAGTATGCTTAGCATATTTAGGGAGAGAAAACAGTTATTCCAGTCTTTTTTATAAAGTACATCCTGGATGTATTTCTTTAAGAAAGTCTGCCCCAAAGTGCTCTGGACCTCACTGTAAAGCAATGATCTATCTTGCAACGTGAACATGACGCACAGATAAGGTAGTAAAGGAGTGGCTATGGAAGCGACCTGTAAGTGTCCTTTGGAGGCCTACCAACAGTCTGGAATTCAATCACACTAAAATATCAAGAAAATACTAAAATGGCCATTGATTTAGACATAGACATGTAGGACGACTGAGGCCGAGATCATTCAAAGAGAAGAGTGGGGGAAATACCCCTTATACAGGTGGGCAAACACTTAGAGACATAGTCAGGAAGACTTTATCTGTACCAATCAACATAACATTACTTTATAGTTGGGGGAATAATTCTGATATTCTGCTTAATTTAAACTAAATTAAATTAGGTTTTCTATTTCTGTGACAACATCATAGCATCCCATACCAGCACAAAACAGGAGCAACTAAATTCATGTCATGTATTTCATTAGAGTCCTCATTATAGAGCTACATGTTGCACGCACTACCCATGAACACATGTCTATCTGTAAAACTGCAGAGGCAGCTCCTGGCAGTATGATGGATGAAGAGGAGAGCGTCTGAGCTCTGGAAGTCCATGCTGCTGCAGTCAGAGAGCAGCCCACAACCTCTTTCAGCCTCCTCCAGAATGTGAAGAAAGGAAATTCCACATGCAGCTGCAGTCCTCACACATTAACAGCCTCCAACACAGACCTTTTAACATCAAACCGCATCATTAAATGAGCTAAAACTCTCCCATGCGTTCCACTCATATGGCATGAGCAAACACTCTCCAATTTGTAGTGGAGCATCTCTTTCTGTCATTCAGGGGGAAGGCAACGGAGCAAAAATTGACCTAAAAAGTCGGCCCAAATTTGTGAGAGTGCCACTGCTGAGCATAGCATGGAACCTGAAAAGATGCACAGAATGCTGTGTAATTTAAGCCAGATGTTCTTTTTATGACTAATAAATGCAAGGTAGCTGGTAGGACACAGTTCCAAGGGTTTGAATGCTTCCTGGGAGTGAATGATCCATTAAATCCTCCCTGTAGAGTGGTTGATTTTGGAGAAGTCATTTCGCTCTATTAATGAAGACCTATCCGAGCAAGAGTAGGGAGCTCCTTGATTCAGCTGCACAGGAGTTTAGGTCATTCTATGAGAAGGGGAGCACCTCCGCCACGCATCTAAAAATACTGTCCTACATACAAATACGTCCAGCTCACCAAGGAGAGGGGTTTATTTTCGTGCATGTTGATGCAGTAGAAATTTCCTCCATTTATAATAATCAAATCCGTCTATTCTGCAACTGTGTGTAAAAATGCATTCGTGTGAGCGTCTGCAAAACATTCCTGCACATCCCTGAGGCATTCCATCGCACACATGTGAGTTTAATCTGCAGTCACTGTTAGCAGAACAGAATTTCCCTGACTGCTATCTGGAATATAAAAACAAGAGCTCATCTTTCTGAGCACAATCCATACTGGCTCCAAGTTATCACACTTTTAAGATCTAAGATTGTGAGGGAACTACTGGTCTATGCAGCTTCATTCTTCGCCTGTGGCTCGAGGAGAGCAGGTACTTGAACTATGCAGTTTGTTTTTTTTCTGGTGTATAAAAAGTTGCAGCTGCGTGATGCCTAAAGTGTTGTGGAACACATGTCTGCTCCCTACAGTATTCTTCTCTTTCTGCTTTTGTTGTCACACTTCAATATTTTAGACCATCAAACAAATGTTTATACCAGACAGATAAGCTGTGTGCATTCAAAAAGCAGTTTCGAAATGTTGACTTTGTTTATCAACAGGTAAAAACAATCCCAAGTGCATGTTCCTGGGTGAAAAAGTATTTACCTCTCTTGTCCAACGATAAATTAACTGTTATTTTGTTTTCTTATCAGGTGACTTAATATGTCAGAACCTGCATTACTAATGGTAGCGCCTGCAGAATGTTTTGTTAAAGATTTATATTACTATATATTTTTTTACTTTTTGAATTAAATACTGTATGTGATGCTGGGATTTTCTAAGGTAGAGTAAGTAAAAGGTCTAATATTAAAAAAAGACCACATTGTTAATAAAGCTGCAACTCACTGAACCATTTCATTTCCCTTTTTGTCTTTGTTGCAAAATTACAATATAACACTTTCCAACTAGACCAGGCCGGTATATTTATGCATTTGGTGATTGCTACTCATTTGATGGCACTAAAACTGTGAGCAAATCCATGATGCTTAGCAGCTTTTTTCACTGTCAATCAAACAAGTATAAAGTGAAGTGTTGGTCAACCTGCCATTGTTTTTACTACCTTTAGCTCTGCCTAACTGAGAAATATGGAGCCTATTAAATATTTACAAACAACTTCTGGTTCTGAGAAAGTGTGTTTTGTAAAAATATCAAATATGCTCATGAAAAGCACACAGGAAGCTAATCAACTCTTTACTTATAGTCAAACCTTTAAGTTAACCACGACTTACAAAAGTTGCCTTTATTTTGTTAGTTAACTGAAAAACCATAGAGCAATAGTAAATCCATAGGATGATATTGAGAGGATGACCAGCATCAAAACAAAAACTGGCAGGTTTTCCATTATTTATTTTCTTTGCATGTGAGCCACCCCATGTATTTATGCCGCCATGGGCAACCACCCTTATACCTTAAGACACATTGCTGATAATACTGCACCTCTGATCCAGTTAAACTAGTAAGCAAAGTAAAGCAATTAAATGACAAGGATTAAGAAATGAAGATGAGGAAAATTAGAATATGATGCAAGGTGAAAGTTAGGAGATCATTAGACTTGTTTAGTTTAATAATTTATTAATCTTAATAAATAAAGCAGTAACAATGAGGGATATTTTTTGCAGTACAAATGCTATTGAAGTCTACCATACGCTGCACTTAATCCACATTCCAGCAGTCTTTTTATAATTGTGTCATTTTCACGTTAGTGCCAAGCATTATTAGTGCGAGCATGCAGGTCTGAGTGAAGGCTGGGGGCTCTTACCGTCACCGATCTGCGCTTGGATATTCCACACACAAAGCAACAAGAAAACAACTCCAACGAGAAGCCTGAGCGCATTCACTGCGGCCATATCCAAGTTCGGCTTTTTTCGCTTTCTTTATTCCGCTGATTTGATTTTTTTCATTAACTCTTCTGCAGTCAGCCTGCTGCTGTTGTAAAGAGCGGAGACCTGTCTGCGCTGCACTCAACTCTGTTAGGATTTTTCTGTTGTTGTATTTCTCTCTCTCTCTCTCTCTCTCTCTCTCTCTCTCTCTCTCTCTCTCTCTCTCTCTCTCTCTCTCTCTCTCTCTCTCTTTCTCTCTCTCTCTTCTTGTTTCCCAGTTTGTGCCGCTCTGTGCGCTCCTGGGACGCGCCCAGAACCAAAGCAGAGCTGATGATATCTGGAAAGCAGGGAGTGTGAGTGCTATAAGAGGTGCAGCTCAGCTCCACATGGTGCTGAAGTCCCAGCTGCTGGGTGCAGCCGGCAGCAGAAGAAGGCGCTCCTGGAGAACACGGTGCGCTTTCACCGTCATCAGCTCCTTAGCCAATGGCTTTCACCCGCCTTCGAACCCGCATGTAGAGACAAACCTGTCATCTTTTATTTTACATCATTGCAGACTGATAATTCTTTAATATAAGGTTACATATGAAGAGTTTTAATACTCTCTTTGGGTGTCAATTGAGAAAATCCTTAATATTTTGTGGCTGTTATCATTTCCAGGACCGGAGCTAGATGGGGTGCCAGTGGCACCCCATCTAGCTCCGGCACCGTGCCAGGCCACCATGCCAGGCCACCCTTACCTATTCATTGGCAGAGGTGTCAAGTAACAAAGTACAAATACTTCGTTACTGTACTTAAGTAGTACTTTTTAGGTATCTATACTTTACTCCATTACTTATTTTTCCACCTACTTCTGACTTCTACTCATGACATTTTCACACAAGTATCTGTACTTTCTATTCCTCACATTTTTACAACAAAAGTTACTCATTACTCTAGGCTTCGGTTTAATGTTTAAAAATATTTATTTCATGTCATGTGCGTCATCCAATGCAGATCATTGGCGCCATACACATCTGGTGAAAACTAGTGGAATTGGATGAGTCATATAACGCAAACACTCATTGGTTAGCTAAAGGAAATCATCAGAAGCAAGCAGGTGTTCTTCAAACTGCAAACGCGAATTATCCATGCCATGCTACAATGTAGGATTCAGAAAAAGATGTTGAAATGTCTGAAAGGTCGGACATAGGCAAGAGCGTATCGGGAGATGGAGACGGAGACCAACAACACCTCCCTCATCCTTGGCCCTATCTCAAAGACTTTTTTAAAATAGTCGAAAAATTGAGCTTTCGATTCATATACTGTAGTGGCATCTGGCTATTTTTTTTTTTCAAGGTTACTTTATACTTTTATACTTTAAGTAGTTTTTGGAGCACATATTTTTTCACTTTTACTTGAGTAAAGACCTCAAGTTGATACTTCAACTTTTACCAGAGTGTTTTTAAACTGCAGTATCTATACTTCTACAGTAAAATAACAAATGTAGGCCTATGTACTTTTGACAGCACTGATCATTGGCCACCCCTACCATTTTCTCCCTATAATACAGACAGTGGCAGCAGTAATACTCTCAAGTGAAATGTTCTAAATTATTTAACATTTTAATTTTCTATATGTAAACAATTACGTGACAACAAAAACCCTGTGGTTAATTATGCACCGCAATATACTGACATTAAAGATAAATACAGAATTACTAGATTTTTTTCTTATATGGGGTAAAGAGAAAATTATGTCCCTGCAAGTCATATATAAAGCCTCAAACTCACTGCAGATCCAGACATTTGAATTGAGAAAGCTTCCTGGAGGGGAAGCGAAACGTCTTCAAACCTTGGAAACCAAGTCCAGTGGATTGTTTTTAAACTTTTACGGAAAGAAAACTCTTTATTAGTTTCAGAGAAAGAAAATAAAGCTGCTAAACTAGCCCAGCCAATATTCTGAGCTGAATCCAATTAAACATTATACAGGTGCTGGTCATAAAATTAGAATATCATGAAAAAGTAGATTGATTTCAGTAATTCCATTTAAAAAGTGAAACTTGTATATTATATTCATACATTACATACAAACTCATATATTTCAGATGTTTATTTTGTTTAATTTTGATGATTACAAATGACAACAAATGAAAATCTCAAATTCATCATATCAGAAAATTAGAATATTACTGAAGACCAATAAAAACAAACGATTTATAGAAATGTTGGCCAACTGAAAAGTATGAACATGAAAAGTATGAGCATGTACAGCACTCAGTATTTAGTTGGGCCTCCTTTGGCCTGTATTACTGCAGCAATGCGGCGTGGCATGGAGTCGATCAGTCTGTGGCACTGCTCAGGTGTTATGATAGCCCAGGTTGCTCTAATAGTGGCTTTTAGCTCTTCTGAATTGTTGGGTCTGGTGTATTGCATCTTCTTCTTCACAATACCCCATAGAAAATTTTCTAAGGGGTTAAGGTCAGGAGAGTTTGCTGGCCAATTAAGAACAGGGATACCATGGTCCTTCAACCAGGTACTGGTAGCTTTGGCACTGTGTGCAGGTGCCAAGTCCTGTTGGAAAATGAAATCTGCATCTCCAAAAAGTTGGTCAGCTGCAGGAAGCATGAAGTGCTCTAAAACTTCCTGGTATGTGGCTGCGTTGACCCTGGACCTCAGAAAACACAATGGACCAACACCAGCAGATGACATGGCACCCCCAAACCATCACTGACTGTGGAAACTTTACACTGGACTTCAAGCAACGTGGATGAAGTGCCTCTCTTCTTTTCCTCCAGACTCTGGGACCTTGATTTCCAAAGGAAATGCAAAATTTACTTTCATCAGAGAACATGACTTTGGACCACTCACCAGCAGTCCAGTCCTGTTTCTCTTTAGCCCAGGCAAGACGCTTCTGACGCTGTCTGTGGTTCAAGAGTGGCTTGACACAAGGAATGCGACAGCAGAAACCCATGTCTTTCATACGTCTGTGTGTGGTGGTTCTTGAAGCACTCACTCCAGCTGCAGTCCACTCTTTGTGAATCTCCCCCACATTTTTGAAGGGATTTTGTTTCACAATCCTCTCCAGGGTGCGGTTATCTCTCTTGCTTGTACACTTTTTTCGACCACATCTTTTCCTTCCCTTCGCCTCTCTATTAATGTGCTTGGACACTGAGCTCTGTGAACAGCCAGCCTCTTTAGCGATGACCTTTTGTGTCTTGCCCTCCTTGTGCAAGGTGTCGATGGTCGTCTTTTGGACAACTGTCAAGTCAGCAGTCTTCCCCATGATTGTGTAGCCTATAGAACTAGACTGAAAGACCATTTAAAGGCTTTTGCAGGTGGTTTGAGTTAATTAGCTGATTAGAGTGTAGCACCAGGGGCCATCAATTTTGAACCTTTTCACAATATTCTAATTTTCTGATATGATGAATTTGAGATTTTCATTTGTTGTCATTTGTAATCATCAAAATTAAACAAAATAAACATCTGAAATATATGAGTTTGTATGTAATGTATGAATATAATATACAAGTTTCACTTTTTAAATGGAATTACTGAAATCAATCTACTTTTTCATGATATTCTAATTTTATGACCAGCACCTGTATCTGGAAACAACTAAAGATCAGAGTTCATAGAAGAAGTCCATCTAACGTCAAGATTTTAAGACTGTTGCTGTGGAAGAATGGGCCAAAATCACACCTGAGCAATGTATGTGACTAATTTCTCCATACAGGAGACATGTTGAAGCTGTCATTGCCAACCAAGGCTTTTTGTACAAAGTATTAAATACATTTCTGTAAGTATGTTCAAAACTTTTTCCTTGTATCATTTCCCTTTATTACAAAAAAATTTATTTCTGGACATGTATGTTTAAGTTCTTTATATGTGCATGGATTGTTACTGACATCTGTTGAAAATGTCATATCAATAGTTCGTCTAGAAATATATTTACAGAGAAAAATAGTGGCGTGTTCAATACCTATTTCACCCACTTTATGCTGTCAGATATTTGATAAAGATAAATATTATTAAAAAAAACTGAGTTTGACAGTAATCAGACATGGGTGTTTCTCATGAAAGCAAACACACATTTGATAAATCAAAGTTATTTCATTTTGGTTGTTATGTATTAACTTTGACTAAAATGATTTAAAACAGTTGAACACATTTTATTTCAGGAAATTAAACAGAGTATAACGAGGAAATGCTTGTATTGCAGTGCTCTTCAAATACAGGCGCATTGTAGATTCAGTTTATGTCATCATGGGCTGTGAATCAACAGACATAAATAAGGGGATCTGGCTTGAAAAGAACAGAACTACATTTAGTGTATTTATTATTATTATTATTATAGATATTTTTATCATTTATACCTTTATTTTTGAAATACACAAATAGAACAGAAACAAGACCTACACACAAAACTAAACAATTTGGTAAGAGAATGACTATAAATCTACCTTGAGCTGGACGTTTAACTAGACTGACAGTCTGGGTAACTTTGGAGGAGCTACAAAGAACCAGTCACGAAAAATTTAGCTTGAAGTTTACCAAAAAAATTCAGATTAGAGAATAAAGGTGAAATAAGGGCTCTGTCCAGATGGAAACAAAACTGACGTCATAGAAAATACAATTAATTTAGGAAATTAAATCTTCATCTAACCCTTCCAACAATGAACATGTTGGTGGCAGCCAAAATGATGTGAGCATGATTTTCCTTCAGAAGGGAGGGCTATGGTCATAGTTGGTGGATAGAGCTTCCGATGTCAAATGTTTGCAGAATCCTTACAAAGAAAAACAACAAGGCTATCATCTGCAGAAGATTTTATCTCTGAAAGTTCTCCTTGGATGCTTTTAGATGCTCGAAAATTAAGAACAACCATTCACAGATTTGATTAACTTTACCTTCTTTGAATATCTGACAGAACCCTTCTCTCTCTGGAGGCGAGAATTAAAAAGCCTCAAAATTAGGAGGTCATCAAAAAATAGGGTCCTGTGACTTGGAAAGCAGGTGTAAGACTTTCCACTGAGTTGAATCCAGTTGGCAGGGTTTGGTCACTGAAGTGTTTCTCATTCTCAGCCAATTAATGAATAGAGAACAAAGAGGCCATGTAGCAGTCTAACACCAAAAAAAAAAAAAAAACCTGAAGAGAAAACAAGCTGCATTCTGTCTTCATCTTTCCATTAGAGCATTGCACAATTTGTGCCCTTTCCCTTTTCAAGTGACATTAACATTTAGTTTTGCTCTGACTGGAAACTTTGCAGCACATGTTTATTTAGCAGAACTGCAACCTGGATGAGAGAGCATCAGGCTGAACTGGCCTATGCAGCCTAATAAACAAGCTTTTTATGGTGTTCTATGCCCTTTTCCTCAATGTCATATTCCTCCTTAAACCTTCTGCTTGTTTATGGGTTTTATAAGCCAACTAACTGAACT